GTTGTTGTTGTTGTTGTTGTTGTTGTTGTTGTTGTTGTTGTTATGTGGTTAATCTTTGGTGAGATTCACAGCCTTTGGGGCTGGTTGGTAGCTCAACAGCTCGAGTCCTAACCAAGGACCTAGGAACTGTTAAGGTAACGTCGGAGGATATAATCTGTTCCAAGTAGGGTGGTTTTTTTGTAGAATCAGAATGTTCAAGTCTAATAAATTTAAAATTTCCAAATAGCGAGGAATTGCTCCAAGGGCTCCAATTCCAATCGGGACAACACACAATTTCTTTTTCCAGAGTCCCTCAACTTCAATTTTCAGGTCCCGGTATTTTGTGATTTTTTCTTGCTATTTATCTTCAATTTTTATTTTTATTGTTGTTATTATTATTATTACTATTGTTATTAAAGTGTGCAGCCAATAAAAGAAGGCAAAAAATTATAATAGGCTTAAATATTTACCTTTTTTTTCCTGCTATTTTTGACTTGCTCGGTCGCTTTTGCGAAGATGCATAAATCCCCCCCCCCCCCCCAAAAAATAAAACCTTAACGCTGGTTGAGAGAAGGGTTGATAGGAGCTGTATAGTCTTTGGGACAGAGTAGGGTGGCAGGTGTATTTGTGGGCGGGGGGAGGGTTTGGGGGAGGGGGCTTCAGACCATCCCTCACCTCTGCTAGTCACTGTTGGATTTTTTGGGTGGGTTGGGGGGCACATTTCGACTTCCTAAAGAGAAGACTGTAAATTTTACAATTTGAACTATGGAAGTTGCGTGTCTTGATCTGATATTCTCCCCCCTCCCCTCAAAATGCTTTGATCTAACAGCATCTCCCCCTCCCCATTACAGGAACATCATGAGGAGGACTTCTTCCTTTATATCGCTTACAGCGACGAGAGCGTCTATGGCAGCATGTAAGACCCCCGGAGTCCGCCGGCTGCCATCGAGGGGCAACTTGCCCCTAAAGGGACCTGCACTTTCTGTTGTTACTTGTTGTTGATTTTATGTTTAAAAGGTTTTTTTTTTCCTTTTTTTTTTTTGCTCCAGAAAAATGGAGGGTTCTCTCTCTCTTCTCTCCCCCCCCCTTTAATTTCCGGCTGTGAATCTTTTACCTCTTTTTTTCCCTCTTTTAATTCCTCCCTTCTTTTGGCTTTTCCTTTTGAGGTGGTTGTGGCTAAAATTAAATACCTCTCCCTTGCAATTTCCCTCCGTGCTTTCTTCCTTTCCTTCCCCCCCCCCCACCCTGTTGAAAAGGTAGATCTGGAATTTCACAAAAAAAAAACACCCTTTTTGTTTTTTTTCCGATTTCCCCCGCCCTCCTTTGACACTGCACCCCCCAGTTTGCTTTTTCATCAGGGAGGTGCCTCATCTTGGCAGATTTCTGTAACCAGGGTTTCGCAGGGGGGACGGGATGGGAAAATGAATGCTAATTAAAAAAAAAAACAGGTATATAAGAAGATCTTGTCGTAGTCTGGAGAATTTTTATTGTCGTGGTTTTTTAATATATAACATCTGGGACATTGCAAAATCTGGGGCCTGAATCTGGGACAGTGGAGTTGAATAATGGAGGGTTGGAGGGGAAGAATCTCTGGTTGTGTGAGTCACAATGTGACCATTGTGACTCTCAGAATTCACCCCCCCACATTCTGCTCCAACCTTAGAGGGGATGCGGCGGTGGTGGGCTCAGTCCTTATAACGACGACGCATCGGGTCCTTCCAGAGATCAGGAGGTGCCTGATCACACACATTTTGTGAGTGACGTGGGAGTTAACCCTGGATAAGCGCCTGTGCGCTCTCTTCCGCTCCCCGTAGTGGCAGAAGGACCCAAAGAGGGTGAAAGCCAGCCCAGCAGAGAGGAAGGGGGTCATCTTGGGTGGGGTTGGGGGGCTTTTAGTGCGGAAGGAGAGCCCTCCCCAAGGCATGGTTTGATTGGCAACTGAAAACCCCCCCAAGGTCTTTTATGACTCTGCTTACTCTCTCCTAATCCCTTCCTCTGCAATCTCACCACTCCCAAGAGCTAGGAGGGGCAGGGAAAACCATGTTTTGAATGGGGGAATTAATTCCTGGAAGTCGAAGCTCAGAGGTCTTGGGAGTTGCGAAGGTTGGAGACCCTCCCCTACTCCGGGTCAAGGAAATTGCAATTGCTCCGAGGAAGTTTTGCTTCCTGTTTCTGGGTCTTTGTGCCATCCTTGTTTGGCTCGAAAGAGATGTGGCTCTCTTATCCAGCCAGCCCACAAATGGTGGTTTGTCAACGAAGCGAATCCTGCAGGCAGTGAAGTGCCGCAGAGCCAATGGCTGCATTCAACACAACATGCGTGTCCTGGATGCCCTCAAGCCTCTGCCCCTTTGTCCTTCCTCGCCTGGCCTCGTCTAACAAGATTAACAGAGTTGGGAGGGGGCCTTGCAGGTCATCTAGTCCAACCCCCTGCCCAAGCAAGGAGGGCTCCTACATCTGCCTCTACCGAGGCTCGAACTCGCAACCGACCTGATTCCCAGGGGAGAGCTCCACAGAAGGCAGCTCCTGCGCATGTCAAGAAAGCCGCTGGAGGCGGGGGGAGCCGCGTGGGTCAGTTCCCCTTCTGCAAAGAAAGCCCAGCCTCGGTGGCTCCTCCTCGACTTTGGGACTACAACTCCCAAGATTCTCTCTGTCTCTCTCCCTCTCCGCCTCCCAAGCTTACGACACGGCAAGGCCGAGACCACATTACCCGGCGTGCCTCGCGGGGAGGAAGGGAGGGTGAAATGGCGGCGTTCCGGCACCGCGCAGGCGCGGCGCGCGGCCCGCCGGGAGCCGTAGTGCCGAGCCTCCCTGCCGGCGGGACACCGTTGCGGCTGGCGAGACTCCACCTCCCGAGATGCACCGCGGCGGGGCATGAGCGAGGGGAGGGGCGGCCGCTCCGAGCTTGCGGGAGGAGGGAGGGAGGGAGGAGGAGGGCGGCGGCGGCGGCGGCACCGGGCGAGGCGGCGAGAGCGGCGGCTTTTGCGAGTCCCCCGGGCGGGCAGGGCAGGGGCCGGCCATGGCGGAGCCGAGCCCCGAAGGTAAGCGAGAGGCCAGCCAGCCTTGGAGGGGAGGGGGGGGGCGGGAAACGAAAGGGGGGGGTCTGGGGTCGCGGGGAAGACCCCCCCCCTCTCCACTATGGGGCACCGGAGGGAGGGGGGCCCGTTGGAGCCGGGCGAGAGGGGGGGGCAAAGTTGGGGGAGGGTCGCAGCACCCGCTTCTCCCCAGGAAGAAGGGCGGGGGGTGCTCTCCGAAGGGGTCCCTGGAAGCCCCCTCCCCTCTTTAAACCGTGGGGTGGGGGTCGTTGAGGGTCTCCTGCCGGCCTCTCCTTCCCTCCCCCCCTCCAAAGAGCCCGCGGGGAAGGGCGAGGGGCTGAGAAGGGAAAGGGGGGGGGGAGGTCAGCGGCCCCTCCCCGCCACGCTAGGAGTGGTTGGGTGGGTGGTCGCGAAAGAGGGGGAGGAAGGGTCTCCCCCATTGCTTCCCCTCGGGTGTCTGCAGGGGGGGGGGGGTCTCCCTTCTCACTCCGCTTTGTGCGGCGCTTCCTCTCCCCTCCCTCTTTCTGGGTGGAGTGGAGTAAGGAGGGGGGGGGCGTCGAGAGGCCTCTCCTTTCGCCCCCCCTCTCTCACAAGCCCCCTCCTCTTTTTTTTGTTCCCTCTCTCCCCCCCCTTTTTTCCCCCTCCAGATCCCCCTCCGAGCCTCAAAGCCGAGACGCAGGTAAGAGAGAGAGAAGAAACGGTGGGGTGTGGGGGGGGGGAAAGTTTCTTGCCTGGGGAGGGGTCTCCCTTTCGGGGGGTAGTAAGAGGCTCTTCTGCTGTTGGAGTGTTGTGGGGGGTGGGTGGGCTTCCTCCTCCCTCTCTCCCCCCCCCACTAGGCGTTCAAACCCGGCGCTGTTTTTTTGCAACATCGCCCCATGTGCTCCGGATGGGAAGCGCCCCCCCCATTCCCTCCCTCCGTTGAGAAATCCTATTTGGGGCTGGGGGTTGCTTGGATGGAAGGCGCAAATGGGGAGGGGGGGGGCTTGTCCAGTTTGTGCAGAGACCCCCCGGAAAAGGGATCAAAGGGGTGGGGGAGGGAAGCAAGGCCTCCTCCTCTTGCATGCAAGTCCCCCTTAACGTCCGTTTTTCCCCCCCCGTCGCCCCCTCCCCAAAATAAAACCCAACTTCCTTACCCAGCCCCCGGAGAAGCGGCAACGCACCATCGAGGATTTCAACAAATTCTGCAGCTTCGTCCTGGCTTATGCCGGCTACATCCCCTCCTCCAAAGAGGTGAGTGATTTGGGGAGGGGGCTGGGAGGTGCGGTGGGGGGGGGGGAAAGAAAGAGATCGCCCCTTCCTCTCAATCTGCCTGCATGGGAATACAAGCAACGCTTTTCTAGCTGGGTGGAAAGAAAGAGGCAATCTTCCCGCGTGGCTCCTTTCTAGAGGGAGGAGGGGGAGGATAAAACGGGGAGGGGGTCTTCTGAGAGTCCCGATCCCCCTCCCCTCTTTTGCATTGCCCCCTTCCCGGCTCTCCCCTTCTCCCCTTCTTCCCCATGCTGGCTCTCTTTTTTTTTCCCCTCTCTCTTCCTCCCCTTGCATCTTCGGAAAGCTTCCAAGCAGGGACTGCAACTCCCAGCCTCCTCGGAGGCCATTTCGGGCCGACGAGGCCGGGCGGTGCATGCTGGGAGATGTAGGCAGCTCCTCCCTTTTCCCCCTCCGGGCGAGCCCAGACACGCGCTTGTCGGTGGCTCTTGGTCAGGCGGGCAGGGCTTGGGAAGCGCGGTGCATCTCGGGAAGGGTAGTTCTTGAGCTCCCTGCTTCACAGGTGGCATTGAAGGCTGACCCTGGATTGGGATTAACAACCTTAGATTTTGCTAAGCCGGCTTGTTTCCCACAACGTGGCTTAACCCTCCTGCAGATGACAGGAAACTCTGGTTACTTCTACTGGTTGTTTAAATCCTAGTTACGCATTGGGGAAATTGTAGATTAATGGGAGTTCGAAGGGGACCTTTGCTGGTCATCTAGTCCAACCCCCTGCCCAAGCAGGAGACTCTACCTCTGCCTAGGATTGAACTCACAACCTGCTAAATTCTCACCGGAACTGACAAATGGGGGGGCTGCCCGTAAACCCTAGATGCATCAGAGGTTTTTAAACCCATGATTTGTGGGCCGCTGCTTTCGAAACCACGGTAATGCAAGACGCCATCAAAATTTTACTTTGGTTTATTCCAGGGGTTTCCAAACGTGGCCCCTTTAAGACGGGTGGACTTCCAACTCGGGGGAATTCTGGGAGTTGAAGTCCACCCGTCTTAAAGGGGCCACGTTTGGAAACCCCCTGCTTTATCTATAACTCACAACTGCACCCAGCCTTTTTTTTCCCGTGTTGTGTTGGTGTTGTTCTCCCTCTGGCGTCGTTCGTATGAAACCGTCTCGGGGGTTTTAAAACGAAATGCCAACGAACTACGGGACACCGGGGGGGGGGGGAAGGACGTAAGATCGTCCCCCCCCAAGCTCACCGCGCCCGGATCGCCCCCCCCCCTGTCTCGCTTGAAACAAAATAACTCGCCGAGTTGCAGAGCGAAAAACGTGGGTGATGCAAGAGAAGCGAAAGGGAAGCGTAGGAAATGTGGGGAGGGGATCCCCAGAGAAATTGGAGGAGTTATGGAGATTGGGGGGGGGGGCGAACCGATGTTACGGACAGAGATGAACGTAAATTGCAAGAAAGACCTTTCAATAAAAACAATCCATGAAGTGAGACAGTCAAAAGGAAGTGGGTGTACCCTTTGCGAGGTTGGGGGGGGGGGGCGCATAAAATCTGGATTCCGGAGCTTCAGACAACGAAATTACGAGCTCGAGACTTCCTCCGAGATGGTGATTAGAGCTTTAATTTATTTATTGATAAAAGAATAACATTATGGCATACGTAGGGTGCAATTGGTTTTGCAAGGGGCGAGAACCCCAGAAATGAGGTGTGAGTGGCGGGTTGTATTCTGAGAGAACGTTGCTTCTCCAGATTGAAATCAGGGGGGTCCTGTGTATTAATATCTTCTTTTAACCACCCCATAATCCCTCGTGGGGGTGGAGTCTGGGTGGCTGAATGAAGCTGAGTATTTACTGGCTGGATGCCCTTCCCGTCCCCAGTACGGAGTCTTGTTCAGCAGATAAACATTCTCACGGTGCCCAGAGAGAGAGAGAAATATCGGCCTCTACCTGGGATTGAACCCAGAGTCTCCTGATTGCGAGGTGAGAGCAGCATCACTCCGGTCCTATGTATTAATAGCTAGGCGATTACTACATACATGTAATACATACATGTTATTATTTATCCAATTAAGCGCAGCCTTCGTTAGTTGGAGACAAAAAAAACTGCTTTTTCTCCCTGTTGTTCCTCAACGTACGACCTGAACGGAGCCCAAAATCTCTGCTGCTGAGTGAGACGCTTGTTCAGGGACTGTTGCCCCCCATTTTACGACCTAGTTGTTGTTAAGCGACTCACAGCAATTGTTAAGTTAGGAGCAGGGCTGTAAAGGAAATGCATCTCCATTGATTTTGCTCACTGGAAGCTCGCCAAAGGAGATTGCGTCACCCCAGGATGCTGCGACCGTCATAAATAGGAGTCGGTTTGCCAAATACTTGAATTGTAGCGGTGATAAGTGTGAAAAGCGGTCCAAAGTCCTTTTTCCCCCAGCATGTTGTAACTTTGGTCGCTAAAGGAACTCTTGTAAGTCAAGACGCTGAGCTTGCCGATCAGAAAGATCGGCCGTTTGGCGGTTCGAATCCCCAGCACCGCATAACGGCGTGAGCTCCCGTGACTTGTCCCAGCTTCTGCCAACCGAGCAGTTCGAAAGCAGGTTAAAAATGCAAGTAGAAAAATAGGAACCACTATTTTGGTGGGAAGGGAACAGCGTTCCGTGCGCCTTCGGCGTTGAGTCACGCCGGCCACATGACCACGGAGACGTCTTCGGACAGCGCTGGCTCTTGGGCTTTGAAACAGAGATGAGCACCGCCCCCTAGAGTCAGATGTGTTGAGGGGAACCTTTACCTAATATTTGTGTCAGGTCATACATTATCTTCTTTCCCGGAACCTGGACGTGCGTTAATCCGGGTGGATTAGGGACTTAAATCTGCCTTGTGTTCCCGGCAGGAGAATGACTGGACGCCGTCTGGCTCCAACTCCCCGCTCCGTCCGGAGAGCGTGGTGGACAGCGACGGCTGGGAATCCACGCAGTCGGACCTCCACACCATCGAGACCTTCGTCAAGAAGGCCAAGTCGTCGAAGAAGAAAGCGGCCTTCCGTCGCCTGAAATCCGACAGCTCCTTGCTGGAGAAGATGAAACTCAAGGACTCCCTTTTCGACTTGGACCCTGTGGGGAAGCAGCCGCCCCCGTTAGCCGGGCCCAAAGTCGCCGCCGACAAGAAGAAGGACAAGAGGAACCGGAAGGCCGCCTTGGAAGCCGGGGCCGCCGCCGCCAAGCGGAACCGCAGCGACTCGGTGGGCGAGAAGCGCTCGCGCATCAAAAAGAGCAAGAAGCGGAAGTTGAAACGGTCGGAGCGGGGCGAGAAGCCGAAGCACAAAGCCTCCGTGAGCGAGACGGACTCGGAAGAGGAGGAAGAGTTGGAGGAGGAGGAGGAGGACCGGGCGGCCCCGCTGCGGCCGGGCGGGGAGGAAGGGGCGGGGGCGGCCACAGCGCGGGTCTCGGTCCAGGCGCCGCCAGAGCTGCTGGCCGCCACTTTCCCCATTAAGCTGGAGGACACGGAAGGGAAGGAGGGCGTCAGCACGGAGACCAGCCAGGACGGGGAAGGGAGCTCCAGCGAAGGCGAGATGAGGGTGATGGACGAGGACATCATGGTGGAATCAGGTGAGACACACACACACACACACACACCCTCCCTTGAGGGTCAGGATCCGCCTGTCGGGACTCGTCTCGATCTCTCTCACATTGGCCGAGCAATCATTTTTCAATTTGATAGTTTAGGGACCAGGTTAGGAAGTGGGAGACGGGGAGTTCTAGTCCTGCCTTAGCAATGAAAGCCAAGTGGGTGACTTTGGGCCAATCACCAGGAGACTGGGAGTTCCAGTCCCACCTTAGGCACCGTAGCCGACTGAGTGACTTTGGGCCAATCACCAGGAGACTGGGAGTTCCAGTCCCACCTTAGGCAAGGTAGCCAACTGGGTGACTTTGGGCCAATCACCAGGAGACGGTGAGTTCTAGTCCCGCCTTGGGCAGGAAAGCCGGCTGAGTGACTTTGGGCCAATCACCAGGAGACTGGGAGTTCTAGTCCCGCCTTAGGCATGAAAGCCGGCTGAGTGACTTTGGGCCAATCACCAGGAGACTGGGAGTTCCAGTCCCACCTTAGGCAAGGTAGCCAACTGGGTGACTTTGGGCCAATCACCAGGAGACGGTGAGTTCTAGTCCCGCCTTAGGCATGAAAGCCGGCTGAGTGACTTTGGGCCAATCACCAGGAGACTGGGAGTTCTAGTCCCGCCTTAGGCATGAAAGCCGGCTGAGTGACTTTGGGCCAATCACCAGGAGACTGGGAGTTCCAGTCCCACCTTAGGCAAGGTAGCCGATTGAGTTAACTTTGAGCCAATCACCAGGAGATTGGGAGTTCTAGTCCCGCCTTAGGCATGAGAGCCAATCCCTCTCTCCCAGCCCAACCCACTTTACAGGGTTCTTGTTTTGGAGAGAACAGGCGGAGGAGGAAGGATTAGCTTTATTTGCTATCTTTAAACTTATCAAGTAGGATAAAATCCTAATTAAATAAATAGTTTATGGGCGCAATTGACCGACCTCTGGAGCAACGCTGAGCTCTCCCCTAAGTGTGTTTCGAGTCAGACGTGCTGGATGACAGATGGAAGATCCTAACGGATTCAATCCAAGCTTTGTCCAAACTGGGTTAGTGTCCCATATGGACACAAGCCGGGATCCCAAGCTGAACAGCCCCCCCCATTACGTAGCAGCCAAGCCTGTTTCCCGACTGGAGGCCCGTTCATTCGTGATCCCGTTGCCTAAATCCTGTGATATTTGAGATTTTGGGGGGAATTTGGCCCCCTTATGCCTTTCTTCTGGCTTGGGAATTCTGGGAGTTTCGAAGATCACAATTTCATGCCTTATTTCCCCCCCTCCCTCTTCCTTATCCCTCCCAAGATCGGAACGACTTTTATTTTAGTTCCATTTGTTAAATGTGTCTCTACCCCTTCACTTTACAGCCATTTCCCTTACTATTCTTGTCAGATTGGGGGGAGATTTTGAATCATTTCTGGGCCCATTCCAAGGCAGTTCCTTAGCACCCGCCTTATCTCCAAATTGTGTAGGTAGATTAAGTTGCGTACTTTTTTTGAACACTCAGAAAGGAATCGGGTGTGCAGCGTGGCTGGGGAACCGCTCCCGAGACCTCCTCTTTGGCATCACAACTGTAGGATTCCACCTTTGAGAGTCTTAAGACTTAAGAAACAAAAGCTCAGTGGTTAAAGGCAGCACTGCAGGCCACTTCAGCTGACTGCAGTTCGGCTGTTCAAATCTCACCGGCTCAGGGTTGACTCAGCCTTCCGTCCTTCCGAGGTGGGTAAAATGAGGACCCAGATTGTTGGGGGCGATATGCTGACTCTGTAAACTGCTTAGAGAGGCCTGAAAGGCCTATGAAGCGGTATATAAGTCTAACTGCTATTGCTATTGCTAAAAGCCAAAGCTGACCAATTTCTCTTGCTCAGCAAGACGGTTGCTAAGTGAGCTTCGCCCCCATTTTACAACCTTTCTTGCCACCGCGGTTAAAGTGAATCACTACAGTTGTTAAAATCATTGACACGGTTGTTAAGTGAATCTGACTTTCCCGTGGAAGGTCGCAAAAGGGGGATCTATTGACCCCAGGACACTGCATGCCGGTTGCCAATCATCTGAATTTTAATTACCTGACCACAAGGGATGGTACGGGAGTTGTGAGAAAAGTCCCTTTTCCCAGTGCTGTCGTAACTCTGAACGGTCGCTCAATGAAATGTTGTAAGTCATGGAGCATACTGTTCAAGCTCCTTCCCATCCAGCAAAGTCTTTCAAGGGAGGATTTACGGTCACAGACCTTATCTGGCTTGGAGAGCAGCCAGGACGATATCGGCAAAACTTGGCAAGGAGTCTCAGAACCAATGAAGCGAACTTCTGCAAACTCCACTCCCCTTTCGTTCCCCTTTTATTTCCTCTGGGAGGGGCCATTCACCGTCCACCTGTGGCCTTATTCCCAAGTCGACCCCTGTTCTTTAGCTGTTCCCTTCGTCTGGCCACTCTGCACATGCGCACACGGGGAACAGGCTCCAGCTGTTCTTCTGCCTCACGGATCTCCTGCTCCGAAAGCAGCTGATAACTGTCGGACGGCCCTGGCCCCTTCTCTGCCTCCGACGCAGAGCCCTCATCCGAGCCTTCCCCAGACTCCAGGACTGGCCCATCTTCCTCCCCAACCTCCTCACTGCCCGAATCTTCTGCCAGATCCAATGGCCCCTGGCGGGCCACAACAATGCCATTTCAAACAGTTGTCCAGTCACCGAGAGCGAGTTGCCTGGGCATACATCCATTTTCTGAAATGTCTCTGTGCTCTTTTTCGGCGGGTGGTCCCTTTCTCAACGCCTTCCCCCTTTTTGCTCTTCCAGGCGACGACTCGTGGGACCTCATCACCTGCTACTGCCAGAAGCCGTTCGCGGGGCGGCCCATGATCGAATGCAACCAGTGCGGCACCTGGATCCACCTCTCCTGCGCCAAGATCAAGAAGACAAACGTCCCCGACATTTTCTTTTGCCAGAAGTGCAAAGAAATCTCGCGGAAGCAGGCGCTGCTGGCCCCTCAGCCCCCCGCGGCTCTCAGCGCGACGGTCCCCCCGGCGTCGCGGGCAGCTGGGGGGGAGCCCTAGCACAGGAGGGGGGGGCGCTGTGGCTCTCGGTCGGGCTTTCGTCCCGCGAAGGGGGGAAAAAAAAACAAAGACTGTAGACGGAGCAGAGAGAGAGAGAGACGGGAGGTGGGGGGCTGCTCTGGATTGGGGTCCCCTTTGATCCTCGGGGCCCGAAGACGAGGCGCCGGGCTATAGAAAGAGTGGCGGCAGCGGCGACTTATTCAAATTGGCCGGTTACGGCTGGGCTGCAAGCGGGTCCTCCTGGCCTCGACACCCCCTCTTCTCTCCTGCTGGTGGCCCCGATTGGGCATACGGGCGATCGGGAAAGGTCCCGTGTCTACTCTTGGGCCGCCGGCCATAAGGACAGCCGGGGGGACGACGACGGATGGTTTCCTTTTGGACTCTTCTTCTTCTTCTTCCTCCTCTTCTCTTTGTCCTGCTCCACCGTCTCCTTCTTCTCTGTAAATAGAGGACGAAAAGAGGTTTTGTTGTTCTGTTTTTTTCCAACCCCCTCCCCTTTTCTTATCCTGGTTTCTTCCCCCACCCCTCCTTCTCCCCCCCTGGGGAAGGTTGGGAAGGTTTTAAACCCCCCTGATTTTGGGATGTGTCCGAACCTCGGTTGATTTCGTCCCCCCCATGGGGGGGGGATGTCTTTGAGAGGCAAAAAGAGGGCAGATCTGGGAGGTCTCCAAAGGTGGGCCTGACTTGGTGGACTCCAACTCCCAGAATTCCCCAGCCAGCGATGCTGGCTGGGGAATTCTGGGAGTTGGAGTCCACCAAGTCAGGCCCACCTTTGGAGACCCCCCCCTCTGGTTTAAACCAATGGAGAGCAGGAGAGGAGGGGGAAATCACCTTAGTTTCCACCCCACACCCCATGTTGACCCCCTCCAGGCCTTCTGAGGGCCAGGAAGGGAGCCTGACCGGTTTTTGGGGGTGGGGGATGAGGCTGGGCCAGGCCCCTCTCTCCCCCCCCTCCCCTTTTTTGTTTTAATATTTGCAGAGGTGTACATGGCAGAGTTTTCGACTGTAAATAAAGAAACGTAGACCCTTTGACAGTTCCTACAGCGGCCTCGGCTCTTCATTGGCGTTTCTCTCTCTTCGGGGGAATCAGGTAGACTGCCCTGGCGAGGGAGGCTCACTTCCGCCCGCGCAGGCGCCCTGCGGCGGCGTGACGCGCTAATTTCTGCCCGCTTCCGGCGACGGATCCCGCCCACCATTGGCTCGGCCACGTGACGCCGCTCGAGCGATGGGCGTTGACTGTGATGACGCAGGGGTGGATGTAGCGCATGCGCGCTAGAGGGAAATGGAAGGCCCGCGGGGGCGGTTGTGATTCACGCGCGCCGGAGGGAGGGCGATGGGATCCTTGGGGAGGGGGGGCGGAGCCGTGCGTTTAACGCATGCGCGCCGGCAGACGGCTGTAACAGGGCGACTCCTGGGCGGAGCGCCGCCTGAACGCGTGCGCGCCGGAGGGTGGGAAGTGAGGGAGTGTGACGAGTTGCCTCTCAAAGGCGGAGCCGCGTCACGGGCGCATGCGTGCGAAGTAAGGGGCTGTCGGACGACTCCCCGTTGCAGGTAGCGCATGCGCGGGGGGAAGGCGGAAAGTGACGCCATGTGAAGCATGCGCGCTGGAGGAGGGCGGGGCGTAAGAGGGAGGGCGCCAGTAGGATCCTCGGAGGGGGGGTGCGGGCGGAGTTCTGGATGTGACGCGTGCGCGCTCGAAGGGAGGGAAAAGCGTCCTCGCGGCGGAGGCGGCAGGACGCATGCGCTTTGAAGAGAGGGCGGCGCCCAACGAGCGACGGGAGGGAAGGAGCGCCCCGTCCCGCGCCGTTCAGGGGGCGGGGCCGTGCGTGATGACGTCGTGACGCACGGGAGGGAGGAGGGTTGGGAGGCGGGCCGCCGCCGCTGTTTATCCGCCGCCGCCGCGCGACCCGAGAGGCTTCCCCTCCCCCCCTCCCCTCAGGGTTGCCATGGCGACGGCGGGCGGCCCCCCTCCCCCGTCGGGCGAGACGAAGGTGATCTACCACCTGGACGAGGAGGAGACGCCCTACCTGGTCAAGATCGCCGTGCCGGCCGAGCGCCTCACCCTCGGCCACGTCAAGGCCGCCCTGGCCCGCCCCGGCGCCAAGTACTTCTTCAAGAGCATGGACCAGGACTTCGGGTAACGGGGGCCCGTCTGCTGGACCTCGAGGGGGTCCCTCTAGTGGAGGGGGGATGAAGAGGAGGGAGGGGCACGTGACCCCAGAGCCATGGGGGCCCGTCTGCTGGACCTCGAGGGCTCCCTTTTGTCTGTGTGGGGGGAATGAGAGTCCCCTCAAGATCACTGGGCGGGCAAGAGACCCCCCAGAGCCATGGGGGGGACCCGTCTACTGGACCTCGAGTGGTCCCCCTTGGGGAGGGGGATGAGACTCTGGGGGGACGGAGGGGGGAAGGCAACCCCCCCCCCCCACGAGCCCTGGGGTGGGGGGGCAAGAGACTGACTCAGAGCTAAGGGCCCGTCTACTGGACCTCGAGGGGTCCCCTTTGGGGGGTGGGTTAATGTGACCCCCTTGTCTGCCTCTCTGGAGGAGGCGGCTGAGAGATTGGGGCCTACAGACCCCCTCCCCAAAGAGAATACAGAGAGGTTAATACCCCTCCCTGGAGGGGGCACGTCTTCTAGACCTCAAGGGGACCCTAATGGGGGAGGGGGAAATGAGACCCTCTTTACTCCCTCTTTACTCCCTCACTAATGATGGGAGCCCCTGAGAAGCTTTGTGGGGGGGGCGGCGTGGACCCTACCCCTTGTCCATGGAGAGCATTGGCTGGGCAAGAGCCCCCCCCCCTCTCCCATGGGGGCCCGTCTTCTGGACCTCGAGGAGTCCCCAAGCCTCTGAAGCGGGAGGGAGGGGCTTCCCCCCACCCATCTGATCCCCCCGACTGCCTTTTCCCCCCCCCACTGTTCCCCTCCCTTTGCAGGGTGGTGAAGGAGGAGATCACGGACG